CTGTCGAAATTGCCAGACGCGGATCACGATTTTGATCTTTTTGGATCTCATCAGCGCGTGGCAGACAGCTCCGGCAGAACACAGACCAATCTTTACCTGCTGCCTTAACAGCGCGTTTTAGAAAATACCACAAATGGCGCGGTAAACGCCATCTGTAGTACGATGCTACATATTTTTAATGATATAAGATTAAAAGAACACGTAGGCAAAAAACTTTTCTAACTTGAACCTTTTAAATGCAGAGAAAATTCGAATAAGGAAAACTTTACTTTACCATCAAACTTTTTAATGTTTCTTTTGAATACAAAGCTTCTAGGTAGGTATATTGATATACTGCTTATAACCTTTACAATATCAGATGTTAAACTTCGTTCAGGTTGTATTTTCCTACCATAACCTTATGATCCTAGCCTAACCGGTTTTTTTTTCTGTTTCGCTTAAAAGCTTCGGCTAAATTTTTGGAAGAAAACTAATAGATACATATTCGTAATTTTTCCCCTACTACCAATGAACAGGACTATTCAAGCAACTTAAAGGTGACAATTGTTTTTATTCATCAATAATCAACACCTAAAACTAATAGAAACTCGAATTATAATGTTAAATCCGCACTCGAATCTCGAAAATGAAGAAACTCAAGTTAAAGAGTTTGTAATACAACATGCATATATGGAGAACAAAAAATATTCGGTTTAGAAAATATTTGAAGTTATAGAAGTTCGAGGTACAGACGTTTAAACATTTAATTACCAAATTGGAAGCAAAATAAGATAATTTGGCACTACTGACTGCGTTCATTTGTTTAAAATACATCACAATAATGGATGTACATCTGGATGATTTCATTTTGTACAAATCAGTGACAGCCGTCCGATAAACATCCTCTTCAAATAAAACATCTACGAATTTAATAATTTCTTTCGACGTAAATTTGATTTTTGAATTTTATCATGCCTGTAAATTACTAAGCAGAAGCATTTTGACAAGCAATAAACAATTCATTTTGAGAATAGCATAGGTTTCTTAATTATACGTTTCGTATAGAAGTAGAGAACTACAGAATCCCATAAACATAGGCCGAAAAGTATTTTCTTTTTTTAGACGATTTATTACAATTTTTGAAGTGAAACTTCTTTACGCACGGTAAGGTAAGTTCGTTTCATGCGAGTTGCTATGTAACGAAACCATGCAACGGATGTTCCCCTCTACTCTCCTACGTAGACGAGTTCGTAGTGGGGATCGCTTGAGCCGTGAGAGCGCTTCAATGCAACGTTCGTTACAGGCAAATCCGGCATGTATAGTGTAGGTAAAATTTAAATTCATAGTTTACAAATAATACCATTAAACCAATTCCTTAACCCCTATCCCGGTTTGTTTGTGTGTTTGAAGAAATTTCACTTCAGTAGCGTGTTGTATAATTACACGTTCTATTTTTTTGGTTATTAGATCGTTTTGAAAATTTTTAAAATTTACTTTAGATTAATTACCTACAATCTCTTGTTAAAGTGTCAGATTCAAAATTTTATTATCTCGCCTGATACTAATTCGCTACTCGTTCTAAAAACATGACACCTGTCACGGAAAAATTTCACTTTTCACACCTAATTCTAAGCTTATTAATCCTCTCATGCTCTACAAATATTTCAGTGAAGAGATAGCGCACCTCGACTGTTTGGGTGAAGGATTTAGTTGTCACTTGTCAACTGCCTTCACTTCCAATAGACTAACTCGACTTTCACAGCCGTTGGGGTTGTCTGTTACCTCATCTTTTGTGATTTTTTATTCTTTTTTGTCCCGACCCGATACTAATATAAGGACCTTACAATGTTTAAACAACAAGAAAACCAAAATTAATGTCTTTTTACAATTATTGTTTAAACTGGACTACTTTTAGGGGTTCCGTACGTCCGAATGGAAAATGGAACCCTTATAGGATCACTTGTGTGTCTGTCTGTCCGTTTTTTTACGATGCCGTCTGATGATTCTTAAAACATTTAGTAGATTTAGTAGATACGGTTTTCAAAGATAAATTATGACGTTAAAATAGGGCGACAAACAACGCAAAAAAAATTAAACCTCACGGATCGTTTAATGTATTGAAAACATATTTTATCAAGTACAGCATTTAGCTCAGGATAGGAAAAAGTGGAGGTACGTGTCCAACCAGTCTTAGGACTGACGACCCTATGATGATGATGAGCATTTAGCATAAATCTTCTTAATTACTAAATTCTAATTCTTTAGCTGAAGAAAGCCCAAAAAATTCTAAACTCCTTGCAAGTGGATTATTTTAAATGTTGGATCGATATTGTTTTCCGGGTTCATTGTCATGGTCCGTAGAAATTTGAAGTACGAAATTCTATGAATGCAGACTAAACAGCCCGCAAAACTATATCAAATTGATATACGCCAGCTGTGTAAAACTGAAAAATAATGAAGAGAATGTGGTGTGCTAATAAATGCCTATAATCCAAAATTCTTAGAAAACGATTCGAAAAACCACTTATTAGATGAACCCAAAACTAAAGAAACTATGGATTCCATTTCTTTCTTTTATCACAATGTGTAAAAGATCAGAAACAAAATGGGGTTGTAAATATTTTGATATAAAATGTTTGATGTTGATTTTACATCAATAAAATTATTTGCAACCCTATTTTGGCTCTGATTTTTCACGCTAAGTAAACTATTTTAATCTAAATCTATCCAATTAAAATGGGTGACAAAGGCAAGCAAGGAAGCATACAAAAGAATCATTTGTTGCTGAACTGAAGAAACTATAACACAAAGGTAGAAAAACTGTATTACAATCACTTCAAACGGAAAAATGTGAATCATACTCAATCTTCGCAGCTGGTGATATACTGCGAACACCACATTTAGTCTATCTAATTTTACATCTGAAATAACAAATCAAAAAAGTATTTGTATTTTGTATTTAAATACTTAAAAAAAAAACATTTTGCATATCTCTAATGCCTACATATAATAAACATTAATAAGTGACTTTAGTATTTTTAAAATTGTCAAACAAAAAAGATACTTCCATCTACACCCTTCAATGCAATTGAATGTTTCTATCATTATTACTCTTATTGTTTCTTAATTCGTTCATTTTAATTGTTATGTTGAATAGACCTAGGAGCATTGAGAATAAGACTATTGTGTCTTTGTATTCCTTTGTAAGGTTGATACATATCTAGATATCTTTATTATCCAAAGCCTTTACATTTATATATACGTTTCATCCAGTTCCATTAACAATGTAACCACGTTGTTTGTGATTTCACATTATATGTACCTATTATTAGTAGGTATCGTGGCATATCTATTAAAACGATAGCTCATATAATAGATAAGGATATGGAAATAGATTAAGAAAATAAATTATTTTCTATTCGTTTCACCAAGGCGTTTTTATTATTAATTATTAATTTTGGGCATGGCCATTTTCGGCAACAAATACTTGTGAAAAGGTTCTTTTAGATAATCAATTAAAACTGGTCAAACGCTAACCTTGCTTCATGCCAATCGAAGCAAAATGTTTACTTGTAACTGTTAAATCGTAATTGAAAGTAATCTAACTTACATTAATTTATTCAATAACAATAGGTAATACCATATATTTTAAATGATATTAACCATCTGCCAAATAATAGGAGTAACGAGTAATAAAGTAAGTAAATAGAGTTCTTAGAACATGGTCTGTTTTTCGTTTTACAAAACCGATGCGATGTTCTATTTGCGGAATTATTACAGATAAATGAATGAATGTACAATTTATTTATTTTTTCTTTATTTTGGCGCCGTCAGTTTGGTTTATGTTACACAAAGATTAGTGAAAATGTTTAGTCCACAGACAATCACTTAATTATGCCAGTTTTACGACCATATACTCTAGACAATGGCAATGAAAAAAAAGTGTAAATAAAGACACGTGTTTTATTTCGTCCACAATTAAAGGCTCCAGTTAATATATTGAGGAGCCAAATTAATAATTTTCACAGAATATGACATCATTTAAATTCATGTTCTAGAAACATGATCCAAAAATTGGGAAAGACACTTGTAAACAATGTCATAATTTCATTAAACATTGTAACTTTTTTAATTCGCATTTATTTATTGCATCTTGTAACTTGAATCAGTTCAGAAAATCTGAAAAATTCAAAGGGATCAAATGAATTTTAAAATCACCAAAACGCGAAAAAGCTTATGATTTTCTTCGTTAAATTCGGGTGTTTGTTATGGACGATTTTCATTAAAATGTTAGGTAATTAAAACAAAGTTTTTTCGAAGGAAAGCAATAAAAAATACATATCATAGGTGCATCCTATAAACTACATGGTTACCTATATTTTCTAGATCTGGAATTTAGAAAATCAGTCAGTCATTTTATTTGAGCATCCTTTCTAGTAAAAGATTGTTTATATAATCGCACAATTTGTCGAAGACTTGAAATATAGAAGGTCCTGCATTAGAGCAATGTAGGAATTTAGGAATTATATTCACGATTGCTTGGATCAATTTTACTACCATATATAAAGTATAATTTCGTTATAACCGAGCGGACTTTTCCTCATTAACTTGAGGTAATTTATAATTGGTATAAGTGGAAAATGAATTTTCACATTAATATTTGATTATTATCATTATTAAGTGTATATATTTAACGCAGATCAGAATTTTAATTAAACTCCTAGATTTTATTCGGTAATTTAATGACATCCCTGGTGAGGGCCATTTTTTACAGTAAAATCTTGAAGGATTACACTACAATGTGTATTGATGTTATTATTTGCTAGTTTTAAATTAAATTCCTGGATGCTTAATAAAAAGATCTTCTATTATTTTCCTACTACATATTATGTGTAACAAATGAACTGTTTACGTTCCAAATCTAATCTAATCTATCGAAATGGATGTTTTTTTTTTAATATAAAATAACAATTGTAGTAGCAGTACTTACTTTTAATTACTAACAAAATATTTGGTTACAGCGAAATGGCTCGCGGCAGCAAATCGATATTGGCCGAAGAAAAACAGGAGGAAGAGGACATGATAGAAAAAACGATAGATTCATACGGAAAATGGCAATTCCAGATGACATTTCTTCTATCATTGTGCAATATCACTTGCACCTGGCATATTTTTTCACCTACGTTCCTTTCAAAAGAGAAGGACGTTTGGTGTGCAAGGACAGAACAATTTAAAGACGTTGATCCTGTAATTTGGAGGAATTACACTCAACCGAATGGATACTGTTCCATGATAGACATAGACGCTTTAAACGTTAACAGTCTGGATGAAATCAGTTCTTTGCAAAACTACACCCTAAAAACTTGTACTAATTGGGAATTCAGCAATGAAGGTAATTTCTCTAATATCTAACAAGAAGTATGTTAAAAGATATGCAGTTGTGGCAGTGTTTCTCTATCTACTAATATCTGCTACTACTACTACTAAGGTATCACTTGTGTAACTGAATATTTAACATGAATATATCATCTTGACTAAGGAGCTGATGTCACTAGATCAGCGGTTCCCAAATGGTGTTCTGCGGAACCCTGGTGTTCCGCGGAAGGTTATAGAGGTTCGGCGAGATATGATGTTTCTTGTCCTAGTAAAAATAGACAAAACTCTGTATCTAACCATAAACGAACATTTATTGAAACTTAAAACACCTTGAAAGAATATTTTTCAGAGGAGTCACACAGTCATAAAATAGGCAGTGATTGTGAACACAGAATCCATTCGAAAAGCAAACTAAATCATCAATGTTAACTATGTCGGAGTATGAGAAGTTGGTCGATATTAAGAATTTATCCTCCTTAAAACAAGAATTCGAATTAGTTAATTCAAATTTGAATGATCTTTGGATCAGACTTAATGATGAATATCCTGTAGTCGTTGAGATGGTTATCACAGTTCCTGTTTCTATTTACTTCGACTTCAGATTACAGACGAGCTTTTCAGTTTACGCTTACACTAAAAATAAATTTTAAACTAGGTTGGATACCACTCCGAATATTCGAATTGAAATGTCGAACATTAAATTAAATCCAATTTTAATGCTATTATAAGCAAAAATGTGCACACTAAATATATACGTGTAATAAATATTTTGAATTCAAAATTCAATTTGAACAACATGTACAGAATAAGGTGCCAGGAGTCAGACATACGAATAATCATGATTTAATTTTTTTGTCGAGATGGGGTTCCGTCAAAAAAGGATGGGTCAAAAAGGGTTCCGTAGCAAAGAGAAATTGGGAACTGCTGCACTAGATGACGATATTCTGCCATAACTAGATATTATATCAACTTTTGATTGGACCGGTGAAATGACTTGATTAATATCATGATTGGTTACGGCGTGCTCATGAGATCTAACGAGATCAAAATCGCGAGCTACGTCTGTTAGTTTCTATAAATTACCGTTACAGAATTTAAACTGATCTTGTTTATGTGAATTGTTTCGGAAATTAATTAACTATTGAATAATGTATCAGCGGTAACAACTTCATATTTTAGATATTTTCCAGGAGAGACCGTGATTTCAGAATTTTTACTGGTCTGCGACCGGAAGTACCTTAATAATCTGGCAGAGGTGACCTTCCTCGCTGGAGTTGCATTGGGAGGCCTTATATGTGGAGTATTCTCCGATAAATATGGAAGGAAAAGGACGCTTATGGCCTCTATACTTATACAAACTCTATTAGGTAACTATACAAGGCGTCTCAAAATCGTATTAGTGTTAGTAAAAATTTTAACAAATGATAATTAGTCAAATTACATGAAGAAAGGAAAAATGATTCGTGATCAGTCAGGATTTAAATTTAGACCAAGGTACTCTTGAACATGACGCTTGATCTTGGCTTAATTTCTTCAATTTGAAAAATACTTGCAACAGTTTCGGTATTTATAAATTTTATGTGAATCCGAATGAATTCCCATCAATAAATAATAACAGGTTTTTAGCCCTATAATATCTAAAAAGCTATAGATTACCTTTTTATCTAATTGTACAAATATTAATTTACGTATGGTAGACATAAAACTATTGTCTTACTATGAAAAATTAATGAAAACAATATAAATTTCAAACAGATTTAATGATAGTACATACTGCATAAATTTTTCGCAGAATTTTGTTTATTTCTTTATTCTCAATTAAGTTTAAGGAAGTAATTTAAAAAGCGAACTCATACATAAAATTAACAGTTTAAACGACAGAGCGGTCCAAAGTTGGATGCTCAAATTGACTGTTTTCTAACTCACACTTGTGAGCCATGCGCTAAATTGAAATAATCGGTGTAATTGAGAAAAGTACATTAACAAATAAAAATCAGAAAAGGTAGTGGTCTATATAGAATCAATAGAATCATCATTAGTTTTTGTCATTAGTAAGACAAAGTAGAAAAAAGAAATGAAATGCAGATAATACCATAAAAAATACTCTTCCTTTTATTGCTTTTTGGATTTGTAGTATTTCTAATTAATTTGAAATTGAGTCTGCCTATTTATTAAGGTTTTTATCACTTATGCACGAAATGTACGATAGATTTTGCTGTGATTCACATAATCCATTTATTTCAGGGGTAACAATTGCAGTAATTCCGGGTTTCATAATGTACATGATATTGAGGACATTTTTGGGTTTTATATCAGTATCCGTAGTGTTTAGTGGATTTGTATTGTGTATTGAGTTAGTTGGAGGTATGTGGAGGACGATATCTGGAACGTCGTTTTTCTTTCCCGTTAGCTTTGGATACGTTAGTATTGCGGGCATTGCATACTTCTTAAACGATTGGAGAAATCTTCAATTGGCTATCTCGTTACCAGGTCTCCTACTTCTGAGTTATTGGTAAGAATTTTATCATCATTATTATTATTATCCGTACCATGCCAAAGTTTTACCCTTAAGTCGTTAAACCTAACGAAACGGGTATTGAAAACAGTAGGCGACATGCAGGAGTCTGGAGTTACAGGATTGAACTTCACGACGAAAAAACAATTTACCAATGATGAATATTTGTCCCTCGAGATGATTCATTTGAGATCATTGCACAAATTAGAAGGGATGTCCCTGAATACAGTTTCAATGCGACGATTTTCCATTCCTAGCTTTTCCAATAGGAGGTTTCAAAGTTGACCAATGATGATTTGACGATTACGGTTAACAAGTATTTACCTGCGGCTTTACGTGTCAAAAATCATCAAAAATACAATAATTTGACAAATTTGTTCTTAAATCGTGGCTAGGATCATCAGGATAAAACTAAAGTCTCTAATTTTATAGGGGAAACACACACTTTGCGCTCTTTCTCTCGCGAACAGTATTTTTTTTTTCTAGATAAAAATTTGCATTAGAATGATTTTTCTTCTTTCGAGAAAACTCATTTTATTTTAAATATTTGCATTTTTAAAAACAGTCATTTATAAAAGCGCGGAATACTACAAACAATTTGAATCACCTACATAAACATCTAAAATGGAATAAAAAATAACATTGACCTTTGCGTATGTTTTTATACCATTATTTATCAACAACTGCATTACAATTATAAAATGATGTGTTTTTATTAGAGCTATGAATAGTGCAAAATTACGTTCACATATTACCTATATTTCTAATTTTAATTTACTTACTGTATATAGTGAAATAATGATAAATTTATGGCATGATAAATACAATTACCATTATTACTTGCTTCCAATGCAGTAAAATTAATTATTGATTTTGTCTATAGTTTCGATCGTCTGCGATTGTAAATTCATTCGCGTCAAGAGAGACAATAGGTTATCAAATTAGTGGTCATTGTGGCCTTCATCTTTCTAACAGAAAAGAAACACGTTTTTAGATGTTATCAACAAAAGAATCTTACACGTTTTGCAAAAATTTAATTCCAAAAAATAAGTAATAATAAGTATTCATGTAGGAAAAGATACATATTTTTATAAATATGTATATACCGGTCAGCAATTAATATCACTTTTTCAAATATTCGTCACAGTTCCTGTTTCTATTTACTTCGACTTCAGATTACAGACGAGCTTTTCAGTTTACGCTTACACTAAAAATAAATTTTAAACTAGGTTGGATACCACTCCGAATATTCGAATTGAAATGTCGAACATTAAATTAAATCCAATTTTAATGCTATTATAAGCAAAAATGTGCACACTAAATATATACGTGTAATAAATATTTTGAATTCAAAATTCAATTTGAACAACATGTACAGAATAAGGTGCCAGGAGTCAGACATACGAATAATCATGATTTAATTTTTTTGTCGAGATGGGGTTCCGTCAAAAAAGGATGGGTCAAAAAGGGTTCCGTAGCAAAGAGAAATTGGGAACTGCTGCACTAGATGACGATATTCTGCCATAACTAGATATTATATCAACTTTTGATTGGACCGGTGAAATGACTTGATTAATATCATGATTGGTTACGGCGTGCTCATGAGATCTAACGAGATCAAAATCGCGAGCTACGTCTGTTAGTTTCTATAAATTACCGTTACAGAATTTAAACTGATCTTGTTTATGTGAATTGTTTCGGAAATTAATTAACTATTGAATAATGTATCAGCGGTAACAACTTCATATTTTAGATATTTTCCAGGAGAGACCGTGATTTCAGAATTTTTACTGGTCTGCGACCGGAAGTACCTTAATAATCTGGCAGAGGTGACCTTCCTCGCTGGAGTTGCATTGGGNGAAATAAGATACGTATCTGGTGGCACATTTTCAGGACGAACGATAGTTGAACGCGCATGAGCAGAAGGAAAATGAATATTATAGATTCGCACATGACTGATTTAGATTTTCGAGCACCGCGTTGCATAGCCTTATAGAACTATTTTCTTTTAATGCTTCACTGCTGTACATAATTAACATTATCAGGAAGTTTTATGGTAAAAATCGTTCACAGGGTGTATAAAAATACAAATTAAACGAAATTCCGGGGAAAGTCGCCTAAACTTATGTTTATTACACTTGCCCTCGGAAAACTGACAATGAATTAGAAAGGAGAAAAATTGAAATTATTTTTGTGAAGCAAAAAATTAACTGCAAAAGAACCAAGAATAGCTTATTTGTACAGCTAGTTCAATATTTCATGAATCTTCATATGCTCGAGAGGCGAACCGTACTGAAATTATATTGTACATTACGAAAACATGGACTTAATTGTTACAGCTAGTTTAAAATTTCATGAACCTTTAGAGAGACTGAAATGTAAAAATCAATAAACTGGCGAAATTTCGTCACTGTACATACCAGGGCCTGAACTACCTCTAACATTAACAGTAAATATACGTCTAATTAAACTAACCGCCACTTGCAGCCATTAACATGTCTCTCTCAAAGAAAAAAACATTCAATTACGAAATAGTCGATTTAATAGAATTACTATCCATTAGATATACATAATTAAAGCAGACAACATTGCGAGGATAGGTAGGCTTGCATTTCAACTTGGAACGTTGTTGAAACAATATTTAGTCGCATAATGTGAAAGCGGCGTTCCGATACGATACGACACGACAAATCGCGTGCAGTAAATCGTTTTCGTTATCGCACTGTGTGAAAGTGACCTTAAGCGATGTGTTATTGAGTGGCGAGTAATCTTCACAAAACTACTTATTTAAGTTTACCTATCTTAAATGATATTCGAGATATCGTAATTTCAAATTCCAAAACCTATTTTGTTGGACCTTTTATCGAACTACGTGAAATAAAAGAACAAAACAGCCATGAGTGTTGTCATTTATCATTGGATTAGATTCTGCCGTCAAAATTGCATAGCACATCAACATTTTGAAATACCTTACAATTAATCTTAAAATGCGAATGATAAATAATCATAAAAACTAAACCAAATTAAACTGATGCTATCCTGATGCGGGTTTAAAAGCTGTCGCCGGTTGGAGCTGCTTCCTTTCCGTTAGGATCTCTGAAGAAGCTCGCCACTTGTGTTAGCGAAACGTTAGGAAGCAACTCCAGCCGACAACGACCTTTAGACCCGAATCAGGACAACACCAGTTCATCTACTGACCCCGAAAGCATTTACTAACGTTGTAAGCCAAATTAGTTTCATTTTAAGTTTGAGATATCATAAATTATTGATGTACTGAGGCAATTCTGAGGCCAGATTTAGATCCAGCGTGTCAAATTTTAGGAGATTATTACGCGAATATACTCGAGCTGTTTGCCTTTACCTTTCCGAGAAATCTTTTGTATTGAATAGGGATCGAACATGAACCCTCTCGGTTTAGATTCGACAGAGATCACTGAACGTCCGACTGTCTCATTAGTTCGACCTTCTTAATTTTACGACACATTTGAATCATTCTGCACCGTTCTAGTTTAAGCTTAATCTTCCATGTTGCATGCAAATAGAGTCATATTACAATTAAATTTTCTAAAGCGTCAACAAAATAGGAAGTAGTTAATTAGGTTATCATACCACGTTTTCTGGGTAAGAAGAGGAAAAACATAAACATAATGACAACGTTGATTTTTTTCCGCGAAATTTCCCATGCTAATTGTTTAAATAGCTTAGTTGCTACCACAATTTATTTTCTTTTTGTGGGAACGCACATGGCTCCGTTTCAACATCGTAAAGATAAATAAACAATGTTTAAATAATCACTTTACATATTTTGCGTGGTACCATACTTGTGTTTTTTTACTTCTATATTTTCAAAAATTCCGGACGCTACAAAGAACCGCTGGCTGTTTAAGTCAATAAGTTATAATTTTGGAAATGTATGTAGATGATATTTTAAACATGGGTACACATCCAGGAGTTTCAATATGGGGGTGGGAAAATGAGTTCGTGGATGCCTGGATGGTCAAAAACAGGAACTGATATCCCTAGACAAAAATTTTCAGTCTCTCTCCAGTCTTTCAGCGTCTCTCTCAGTTTTTTCACAGTGTCTCAGTTATTGCCTAGGTGTTTTTATGGATCTCTCGCAGTCTCTGTATGAGAGACTCGAACGATAAAATTGTTAATTCAGAGATTCGAGTCTCTCACAGAGAGACTGAATTAATAGAAATATGTTGAACTTTTCACCATGTCTATCGAGACACCACTTATTGAGAGATTCGAGTCTCTCATTCAGAGATTCGAGTGTCTCGTTCAGAGATTCGAGTCTCTCGTTCAGAGATTCGAGTCTCTCTTTCAGAGACTGAATACGAAATGAGGATCTCTCTATGAGCGACTCGAGTCTCTCGTTCAGAGACGCCAAACAGTTTTTTTGACAGTCTCTCGACAGTGTCTCTCAGCGACACCAGGGATACTCGATGAGAGACGGAGACTCGAGTCTCGCTTTCAGAGACTCTGAGAGACTGAACATTTTTATCTCGAGATGAGACAATTTTTTAGCCTTCCGTGTGAACTATTTTAAAAAAATGCCTTCAATATAACTTTTACATTTCGTAAGTTACTGAGCTCTTGTAAGTGATTTATTGGTTGTTCGTTACTGGCACAATCTAAGTAATCAGTTGTTTTTCAACAAATGTCTATCCCATCCTGACCAGAGAATTTTGGATGACTGAATCTCGTTGTACTAATACATACCATTAATAATTCCTGTTGTCCAAAATGTTCCAAATACAACAATTCTGTTTGTGATCATCATGCACTATATTTATTGTGTACATGAAATACAGAAAGTTAGTTACTCCGTTAGTATATAAATTCTGATCACATTTTCACTAAAATTATTCATAGAAGAAATGTTTTATTGAATACCTTAAAAATATTCTGAGAATCTTATATTTTTGTCGTTTTATAATTCGACTTGTAATTTTTTAGTCTTATATAATTTATACTCCTTTTTGTATAAACATTTTCTTCATTTTATTGTTAAGGTTATACTGGGCGTCTTAGAAATTCCTGGCATCGCTCTTAGTATTTACATTCTTCTAAAAATGGGACGAAGATGGCCGTTGGCACTAACCTTTGGCGTGTCCGGTACAGCCTGTCTAATTACGCTACCGATTCAATGGTTCATGACTGATTATGATGTCGTGGTGACAACTTTCGCAATGATCGGAAAATTCACAATCAGTGCATCGAACGCTATCGTACCCGTTTTCACCGCAGAGCTTTATCCGACAGCGCTACGAAACGTTGGAGTGGGGGCTAGCAACGTTTCGGCCGGTGTATCGTTATTGCTCATACCGTATCTGTGGGAATTGGTGAGTATTTTCTATTACAGTAAAAGTTCCTTATTCACGGTTTCCTTATTTGCGTTTTCATTATTTGCGGGTGAAAAAATTGCAACCCACTTCCTGTATTCGCGGCTAAAAATTTCATTATTTGCGGATGCAATCGGTAAACAGAAAAGGATTCGGTGTCATTTATTAAGGAGATTGACCGCATAGACCGCTCGTGTCTACTGTGAATTTTTCCGAAAATATGGGTTTCTATTCTAAACATTTAAGGCTGCGAGATAAATATCTGATTTTTTGTGTGGTAACAGACAAAGGTTCACACTAACTCGGCACGTGTTTAGTTTTCAATAATACGGTCATTAAAAGCTTTTACAAGTTCTTAAAGTTGATGCTTCTTGCAGGATACATATTTTCAATAGAAATTAAAAAATTAAAAAATGGCCTTCGACAGGCTTTAGAACAAAGCGTTATCTATCTTACTACAAAATTTCAAACCACCGTCTCAAACATTAAACTCATGATATCTAGAACCAATAAGCATGTTTTTACTCTACGGCGAGTGAACTACCGAATCCCTTTTGAGTATGTACTGTTGGTACGAGGCAGCTTTTATAAAAGATGTAACCGAGTAAACAGAATAGGATTCGGTGTTATTTTTCAACATATCGGCATCTTTTAAGTACTGTTGGCTCGTGCCGTGGCGACTTTTATAAAAGATGTGACCGAGTGGACTAATTCAAAATTCAGAGCAAGAAAAAATCACTAAATTTTTTAAACCCTGATCTGAAGGTGATTATAACAATTAATTTTAATTGCGAATTTCTCAATAAATTGATTTTATTCTGATACATATTGGTTTTATTTTGGAACCTTAGAACGTATGCTCTATGATTCCATACTAATTACCATTCCATATCCACGGTTTCTGTATTCGCGGCATATTTATGGAACATATATCCC